CTGGCAGTTCCCCCACCGCCCCCCCCCCCACCAGGTGGAACAAGCTTTCCGGAAAGTGACTGGATGGGGCAGAGTGGCAAAGGTTTTGCAATTCCCTGAAACAGGGAAGAGGAGACAGGACCATGCCTGGCCAGGATAGGTGTGCCTTCACTGCCCTCTGTCCCCACCCAGGCTCTGGAGCCCACTCAGCAGCAGCTCTGAGCCTGGCACCCTTAGAAGGCACCGCGGAAGACCCTGGATGGCCTCCAGGCGGAACTGAGGCCCTTGGTGAACCAGGAGCAGAACTGAAATCAAACTCCATAACTTTTCCCACGTGAGGAAACACCTCCCTTCCACCCTCCACGCCCCTTACCTGTAGCTGGAGAAACTGAGGCAGAAGGAAGCATGGCCTACTCAAGGTTTGCTTAGCAGGTGCCTTGGCCAGAGAATTAAACAGAAATCCAGGAGGCCCTGCAAATTTAGCCCAGCTGTCCTGCCCCACCATGTTGTTATCTCATGGGAGACCTCTCTCGCGCCTCAGGTTTTCCTTCTGCTTGCAAAGCCTCTGCAACTTGGGTTTTTTCTTTAGTAACCAACAATCGCCTGCTCCTCCTGCCTTTGATATAAAAATGAAATGTGTGCTCATGGTGGAAAATTTGAAAAAATGCAAGTAGGAAGACAGAATTGCTGGTAAATCAACTTTTCCAAAGATGGCCTCCTCATAGCATTTTAGCATTGTCTTTATAATTTTCTTCTTAGATAGTCTATAAAGTTGAGGACTTTATATCTACTACATCTATGCTGTAGCTACAGTTCTGAATCCTGTTTTCTCCCTCTTCATTATATATCACAAGTGTTTGCTCCTGTTCAATCCAAATAGTGTCTAATATCCTAGTGGCTCCAAGGTACCCTCCCTCCCCAACACACATACATGGCCTTCTCATGGGGCCTTGGCATTGTTCTGTGTGGTTATTGCTGTGGTTTATCGCCTTCTTGGTTTGGGTGCTGCTTATTGGCCTTGAGGAGATAGCAAACTGCTGTCACCAGCTTGGGAGCCAGCAGCCTAAGCTGTCCCTTGCTCCTAGCCTGGTAGCCTCTGACAGCACCTGAGAGTGCTTTTCCATTCCCTGGACCATTCTGTGCCCTGACCAAGGGAAGGAAGGAATTCACCCGTGTTCGTGCTTTTAGAGAGGCTTCTGAGGCCAACCTGTGGGCTGGTGATTAAGGCAGCAAGATACCACATGGGCAGCCATGCAGTTTGAGTCCCAGACCCTGTGGCTTGAGAAACACATGAGGCACGTGGATGCCCAAAATCCTGAAAGGAGGGAGAGATGGAGGAGAAGGGATCGTGGCATGATTATTCCCCAAAGTGGGGGTGCTCTCTCCTTTCTCTGTCTCTTCATCTCTCTCTGCTGAGTGTGTTTGCCCTCTAGAGAGGAAAAAAAGATTCTGTCTCCAGGTGATGGGTAGAAGTACCCTCTGGAGACGCCTTCCCTGGGTTTTGCTGTCTGCAGCCCGTGTCTTCAGGAGGCGGTCAGCCTGACCGACTTTGTCCAGCTCAATACCATATCAGGAACATTGCCCCATGTGCTTATCAGATCTTCAAAACATGATTTTTTAAAAAACAACAACAACAACTGAGTGCAAGAAATTACATCATGGAATGTAGTAAGGACTGGTGCGAATGCAAACCAGTCCGTTTAGCTCCGGAATTTACTTTGGTAAAAAACTGGGTGGGGTAGGGGAGGGTGCTGAAGCAGATTCTGTGTTATCTGGGCATCTGCATCAGACCTGCTTTCTACATCCATGGTCCTTGAAGACACTCCCCAGTGGCCTAGTTTGCCTCCGTGGATAAGGCCCCACTGTCCTGAGGTGGTGAACACCCTGTCGGTGGCGGTACTCAAGGAGAGAGCATGGATTCTGTGAAGGGGAGTCCTGTGCTGGGTGAGAGATTGAAACAGATACCTGGGTGTCTGGTTTCTTGGCCAGAAGAAAAGGCCAGGTGTGGGAGCATGGGCGAGGGTGTGCTGGAGGAAGCGGGGAGTCCATGTTGGTGTTTTCCAATCTCTGCAGCCCTGGCTTGCCTGGGATGGGGATGCTCTTCAGGTCAGAGCCCCTGATCTTGCCTATGGCCTCAGGGTTTAGCAGAGGATCCAGCACAAGGTCGTGGCTGCCTCAATAAAATTTCAAGCTGATTTATTCTACGTGGCTCCAAAGAGCAAGGCTGAGAACAGGAGGGAGATTACAGGGGACAGATTTTGATGTACTGGGATCGTTTCTGCTGTTGATGGCTATGCAGGCTGAGGGTGTAGAGATGGGGCTCCCCAGCACTAGGGGAATGTGAGTAAGGGCTTGGCAAAGGTGAAACCACAGGGCTGGATTGTTGAGGGTACCTATAGCTGAGGGTCAGCAGTGGCCTAACCCAGTTTTTGATCATAGAATGAGAATGTTACTGTCGTGTCCCCTCTCCTCAAGTTCTGTTTGTCCTCCCCCCCCCCATCACTTTTTCAACTGTGCAGAAACCACTTTTGAATTATCTGTGTTACCTAGGGCTCATCTGGGTTGGGAATGAGAAATATTTTATTAACAGGCTGAGTGACTCAGGCCAGTGTGGAAATCCTGCCGCACCCCCACTCTCCCGCCCCCAAATTCAGCAGCAAATAATTGAGTCATGAAAATGTAGATATCTGTTAGTGCTGGAAACACTGAGTCCTCCAGAGAGAAGGGACTGGTCTGGGGTTATCAGGGCCAGGCTAGAACCCTGCTCCAACTTGCAGTCCATGGCTTGGCTCCTTAGACCAGGAGAAAGGTGGTGAGACCCTAAAGGACCGAGCACAGGGCTCCGTGCATCACAGTGTCCAGCCTTTGCTGAGTGAGGCTTGCTCCGTTCTGAATCTCCGTGAGGTCATGGCCCTTCCCAAGCTCCCCAAGGAAGTTCCTGAGCTTACCTGGTAGAAGGAGACACCAAGAGCCCCCAGCACCTTGGCTGCCAGGTGACCTACCAATCTCCCCGGCCCCTGTCATATTCCAAATCTGCCCAGCTCCTCCTGTGGCCTGGGAAGCCCCGCATGGGCAGCCACCACCACCTCACAGCCTCTTTTCCTGCATGTCACCCATGTGTTACAGACACCCTTCGTGGGTTTCCTGCCCTTCCCACGTTGCCTCCTGTGCAGTCTGTTCTCAGTCCTGTGCGGTGCTGCCCTTCTGCCCACCTCTTTGCATGACTAGCCCCTGACCAGCCAGTCTCCTCTCAGCGGCCTTCCCTGGCCATCCCAGCTGGAGAGCCAACCCCAATCCCCACGTCTTGCTGTAGTTCTGTAGCCTGTGTGTTTAGGTAATTGTCACCTATAGGGAATGTTAGCCCCTTGGGAACAGGGACCTTGCCTGTCTTTCTCGGTGTCATGTCCCTCCTATCTAGCACAGTTCCTGGCAGGTAGTAGGTGCTTAGTAAATATTTGTTGAATGAATTAATCATTAGTGGGACTGCCCCCCCCCCTTGACAGGAAGCCCCGAGTGAAGCCTTAGTGTGATGCTGTGAACTTTGTCAGTGCCCCTATCTGCCTGCCTGTGTTGGTGACTGGTGCTGCAGCTGTCCCTGCCCTGGAGACACCCATAGTCTGGCAAGGAGCTAGCTCTGAGGCTGAGTACTGAGTGGGTAGAGCCAGGCTGTCTGTGGTCCCCTTCATTGCTTCCAGAGCTTAGAAGCCAGAGAGCCAGGATTCCTGCCCTGCTCTTTTCTCTGGGACATGGCTGGGCAGCTCATTTCTCTTGAGATTTCATTCCTCTTGTCTTGAAAATAAGATCATGGGGCCAGGTGGTGGCACAGTGGTAACACAGCGCTCTGCTTGGCTGACCCACAGGGGCCTCCCTGAATGTACCAGGCACACACACAACCATGATCCAGGGCTGGCAGAGGGTGGAGTGTGGTGTGAAGACCCCATTGTTGGGGTGGGGGCAGCCCCGTAGCCTAGTAGTTAAGGGAACCAGATCACAGATGGCTGACTGCCGTTCGAATCCTAACCCTGGCAGGTTGAAAAACATACCAGGCGTGTGTGTGCCCCAGATACCACCAGGATGGAAGAGGAGAGATTGTGTCGTGACCATGCCCCACCAGGGCCTTCTCCCTCTCTTTCTCCCTGTCTCTCTCTGGTGAGGACATACACCCTTTGGGAATTTGAAACAAACAAACAAACAAAAAGTTAAAGGAAGGAAAGAAAGAGGAAAGGAAAAGACCCTACTGGGAACACACTTTCTCCATCTCTCTGCCCCTCTCACTCATAGAAGGAAGAAATTAATTATAAGATCAGAGACCTCAGACTCTCAAGAATGTGAGGGTTCCAGTTAACTTCAGGAGAAAGTGTTCCATTAACTAACTTGTGCTCCTGTTAGTCTTTGTCACTTGCCCTGTGCCATATGCCACCCCCCCCACCCCTGCT